AATTAATCTTTTCTGTTTCTTATAGCAGTTTTGTATTGTTTGTAGTGTGATCAACGTTTGCGTAAGTAGTAGACATGTTAGGGAAGTAACACGTAACATTTTAATTATATTTTGCTAAAATGAACGAAATGATTTGAAAAAAGATTCGTTCATTTTGCTGAATGAGACTCAAAGGTCCGAGTTGGTAAAATGATCCGAACTTCCCATCACTACTGAGCTGCCTGTTTTGTTCCCCGCCCTTCTCTTTTAGGAAGTGAGCATCGGTCTACAACTTCCGGATCCTAAAAAACCATCATGTAGTATCGATTCCAAGTGAAATGGCAATGCCTGCATATTTTAGGCCGTGGTTGGGATAATGAGCTCGGCCCTTTATTCCCATCGCCCGTCGCTCCTGGTGATGGAATTAGCTTGAAGCAAGCAGAGCGGAAATCACTCTCAGCTTTATGAATGACATCCCAGAGGTGGGAACGGATTAGTCTTCTCCCTCTCTCCCTCAGCCTGTGTGTCTGTCTCTCTCTCTCTCACTACCTCTACAGCACCAGGTGGCTTTTTTTCTGGGCACAAAGGTGTTTCGCTTAATCCCATTACGCTAGTGCTAAATCTCACAACATCAAAATCACCCCCACCACCACTAACCTTCATATCTCTTTGCTTCTCCCACTCTCTGTTCGCTTTCCGTCCGCTCCCTTTCTGAGTGATTGAAAAGGTGGCTTCACCTGAATGGAGGGAGAGATCTGCAGGCAGCTGCTGTTTTAGCAGTCATCATTACCATTGCTGACTCACAGCGATTGACAATCCTGATCCAATTTCGCCATGCTGGGTGGCCCCTTATTCCCTTGTCCAATAATGTGTCCGCTGGAAAAAATCCCACTGCTCCAAATCAAGTCTAATCCTAGCTGGAGACCTCATGTCAATCTTTTTCTCCAAAAGGGAAAAAAAACAAGACAAACGCATACATCTGGTCCCGCCATAGATCTCTCTTTCTCTCCTTTTCTTTGGCCTCTAGGGATGGCTTTTAAGTCCCCCATCTTGTCCAAAGAATAGAGTAGGGATCACGCAACATGACCTACCAGAACCTTGATATCACAATATTGCCACCCTTGGGCATTGGGACATAGGTGCGGATTAAGACTTTGCATAATAAGATTACACACTGACTGAATGATATCAAGGGACGATCCATATGTGGCAAGCTGGCTCTCTGTCGCCAGCTCATTGGCGGGTGGTACAGCTTGTGGAGAGAGGTGCCTGGGAGAGCCGCTGGGAATCAAATGGGATTCAGATTGTAAATGAGTTGGCCATTTGCAGTCATAGCTATCAGCAACTGGATCTCTCCTAGTTCCACATTTAAATGTGAGAGGTTAGATCAGCTGTCCTTTGTGTGATTACCACAATGACCTGCAATGACGCCCAAGTCTACTGGGACTTTCTACACTGATTTGTATCTTCTGATCGCAGATGTTTGACAAAGACCACTTGCTGGGTGAGTCTTCCCATTCTCAGTGAGCAGTCAAAGCAAGTGAGATGTTCTGATTCTATGACTTGCTTATGTCTGTCAAATGCACTTCTTAACGTCTTACTTTTGACTTCTTATTCCTTATCGAAGAAAAGTCCAAAGTGGTCAAGAAAGCTGGTAGAAGTTTATTTTGTTCACAGAATACCTTGGATGCCATAGTTCAACAGTGACGGCCCCTGC